TAGGCATTTTGAATATAATACAACTTTTCCTAAATGGTGTTTCAAGAAGTCTTCCACTTTGTAGTTGCTATTTTAATTTCAGGCCTTTTGTAGTTAAAAACAGGGAAATTGGTTCTGTCAGATACAGCTTGGTATGAGCCAATGGACTTTTCTTATGAACAGTCATATGTATTTATACAATCATAGGGCAGTGAAAGTTTTGAAGGACACAGAAAAGTAGTTAGATGTGAATACAGACTAGGAAACAAGAAACAAATCAGAACTAAAATCCTAATTCAGCCTGAAAATTCACTTAAAGAACTTGTAAAACTATTTTATCAAAGGTTTTCTTAATGGCAGAGGACTGTTAATCATGGGAAGTCTGGGCCTATAGTACATTTTCTTTGAAATCTTATGTTTTATTTTCAATGTTTTGTAGGCTGTCCTATGACATATTTGTTTCTATAAGAAAATGTAAAAATTAGTATTAAGCAAAATTGACACTCCACATGATTCTCTTTGTTTTTATGTTGTCTTTCTTATGGCACAGATGTAGATGTACAAACGTTGTGATTTTAAGAAATGGAGTTGTACGAAGGGCCAAAACTTGCTGTGTATACTCTAGTCTTAGAGTATACCAAGCTTTAGTTATTAGGGGGATAGTCATTGAAGGTAAAATAATGCAGTATTGAGTTACATATGCATTTTGTTTTGTAAATAGCCATTTGACTTGTGAAATGTTAAAATGACTTTTAAAGAAAATTAGGGGCTGTAGATAAGTTATGATGATCATCATATATTGTATTTATCTTAGAAATACCTCATTACATAGCCAGCCCATGGAATGTTTTATTATATACACATCTTTGACTTGGAGCTTTACTTTTAGAGCAGTTGAACAACAGATGGATGACAATTCAATCCCGATTGGCATGCTGCCCAAAATAAAAGAAGAAACCCAGCATCTAAAGCTTACACACTTAGAGTATTTTAGCCTTTGGTGTCTAATGTTAACCCTGGAGTCACAATCTAAGGATAATAAAAAGAATCACCAAAATATATGCTTAATGCCTTCTTCAGAAATGTAAGTGGTCTATTTAATACAGTAAAATTTCAATAATTTGGATTAGTTGGTGGGATGTCATTTGGAATTCATGACAAATACAGGTTATGTAGCATGTTAAAGATACGTAATTCCGTATATTCGTGCTAACTCCAGATGGCTATCAATGAATTGTTTCTAAGTAGAGCATCATTTGTTAGCTATTTTCAGTAGGATAAATATGCCTCAAGAAATCTCATTTTAAAAATTATTAGTAAATACTTTTTTATCAGTGAAAAGAGTATAAATTTGAGTATACTATAAGGTGAATTTTAGCATATTAGTAGAGTGTAAATTAATTAAGTTTTACTTATATAATTAAATACTGGTATTTAAAAGTTTACAATGTCACTCCAACAAATTTAATTTTTAAAAAGTTTATATATTTAGTAATGTTTTGTAGTCTTCATTTATTTTTACACAATATTTAGAGGTAATATGTTATCACTCTCATAGGCACATGAGGAAAAAAAAGTTGATGCACTCCTTTCAAGAAGCATGCCTATTGTGGCATATAA